TGACTACAAAAGACCCGCTGTGAGTCAAGTGGCTTTCAAAGCATGACAGTCTGGAGACATGATCTCTGATCCCCATCAGTTCCACACCTCAGCCATGGAAAAAATGACTGACAGGAGGAATAAGATGCCTGACAGATGGGAAGGCTGGTGCTGCAGCCATTAAGGGGACACGTCCTGCTAGAAGAAGCAGCTGGAGAGGCAGGACCCACTTGGATGCCACCTGTGGTCTTTCTAGTGTGATCTTATGAAGAGGACACAAGAACCAGAGACAGTAAACCCACTGCTCTTCTCCTTATAGGTGTACAGGGGCTGCTAAATAGAAGGAATGAAGGAGATGATACTTCCAGGAAGACTTGAGTCAGACAATGGGACTCATTTCAAAACCAGTCTAGTGACTGGCTGGGCCAAAGAGGGGTGAGTGGGTGGTATCTCTCTCTGTTTTGGCTTGAACCACATCTGTCTCCACAAGGCCAGATGTCTGGTTTCACAGCCTTGCAGCATGCCTCTAAATAATCAAAGGCATGGAACAGCTCTGCTGTGAAGACAGGCTGAGAGAGTTAGGTCTGTACAGCCTAAAGAAGAGAAGGCTCCAGGGAGACTTTAGAGCACCTTTCAGTACTTGAAGGAGACCTACATGAAAGCTGGAGAGGGGCTTTTCATCAGATAAGATAGTGATAGAACAAGGGGTGATGGTTTTAAACTGACAGAGAGAAGATTTAGGTGAGATATTAGGAAGAAATTCTTCACTCTAAGGGTGGAGAGACAGTGGAATGGGTTGCCCATGGAGGTTGTTGATGCTCCATCCATGGAGGTTTTTAAGGCCAGGTTGGATGAGATATTGTGCAACCTGATCTAGTGGTTGGGTTCCCAGATCATGGAAGGGGGCTTGGAACTTAGTGATCTTTAAGATCCCTTCCAACACTAATGATTCTATGATTCTATGATAAAAAAGATACGTCTGCTAACAGACAGTTACACAGTGTTACACCAAATCTTCAGAGATTGTTATAAAAAAATACATATATATATATACTGTTGAGTTGTGAGATTCCTCTTCAGGTCCTCTTTGGTTCAGACCTCAGTACTTCATATGGCCTTCAATGGGATGTATGGCCATGACATCACAATGGGGCAGTAGAGCCTTAAAAGGAATGTATGGCCATTACTCTAGCATCTGAGGCTGTGGATTCAACAAGGAGAGCAAAGTGACCTTGGCATCTCAGCAGTAACATAAACATTCCAACACTATCAATTCACTGGCTGGAGAACTTGCTGCTAGTTAAAAGGGTGATCACTGAAGAAAAAAGATCAGTAAAGGGAAAATTGCCTTCATCCTGGCTGAAACCAGGCCAGGTCAGGTTAAGATGCCCCTAAGGTGTGTGTGGGTATTAGCAGCTTTGTGGAGAAACACTGGAGGAACACCGGACTGAAAGACTCCTGGAATGGTTTGGGCTGGAAGGGACCCAAAAGTGCCTCTAACCCAAAGCCCCTGCCATGGGCAGGAGCATCTCACACAAGTTCAGGTTGCTCAGAACTTTGAACATGGACACCTCCAGGGATGGGGCAACCACTTCCCTGGGCAACATATTCCAGTGTCTTGCCACCCTCATCCTCAAATCTTTCTTCCTTCTATCACTCCCAATCTTGCCTCTTTCAGTTTGAAGCCCTGATCCCTGGTCCTGCCACTCCAGGCCTTGGCAAAGAGCCTCACTCCCTCTTTCTTCATGGCAGGGGGGACTCTGTGATCTTTCAGGTCACTACAGAGGGAGGTGATTCTGTGATTCTTACCATCTGACCCCATGTCTTCACCTGTGAGAAG